ACACTGGGGTGCCCATGCCAAGAATTCTGTGAACTCATCCAGGAAGCAGGTGAAAAGTAGGAGAGCAAAAGATCCAGGACAGGAACCTGGGGGTCTGCCATGTGAGGGCGTGTGAAGCAGGAGGACCCAGGGAGGAAAGATGGTCAGGACAGACAGACCCTAATACACTCAACAGCAATGTTGTGGACAGATGGACAGGCAGACGAACAAACACTGGTGGAGAATGGCAGAGAGGGTGGGAGCTGATGGTGACCCTGCCTCAGAGAGAGAAGCAGGACCCAAACACGTGTACACATGTGCATGCTTCATACCCACGGTAAGGCAGGGAGAAAGTAAAAAACTTTACAAGCTTGAGGAAAAAGAGACGGAGTTGAGGGGGCGGGCTGTGTGCACACGCGCACACACACATACTCACAATAGGAATGACGCACAAATGCAGAGCAAAATTGAACAACACTTTCTCAGGAAAGTGGGGAAGAGCATGGCTGAGAGCGATCAAGACAGAAGCAAGAGGAACAAGATGATGTGTAAGTTAGAAAGAAAAGAAAAATAAGGAAGGTGAAAACTTCAGGCGACCCACAGGCAAGCAGGTAGAGACATGAGCACATGTGCAAGCACACATCCCCTAATACATACTCTCTCTCTAAGCTTTGGGCCTAGAACAGCCTCCATGTGTCTTTCTGGATGGATGAGAGGATTGAGTATCCCAGGGGGTGAGAACAAAACCCGAGAAAGTCCCCAGAGGCAGGAAAATTCCTCAGATTATCCTAATTTGATTGTGACATCAATTTCCTGATGGGACCTTTACTGATCCACATACAGAGTGAGGAATAGGCAACATGGAAATACTCACACACACACACACACACACATGCAATAACTAGGGCCAAGTCCAAAAAAGATAAAGAAGATAAAAGATAAAGATAAAGAAGGAACTAAGAAAGAATGAAGCAAGGAAGAAGATACAGAGACCTCTCAGGGAGCCAGGAGACAGACGAACGCACAGAAAAGGTTTGGAGTGCCCCTAGGACCTGGAGAAGTGGGAGCCAGGAAGAGAGAGCACGTGTTCAGTACCATCTTATCTGTAATGACGAGAAAGTAAAAATAACCAGAATGTCCATCCTTGGTGGGGAAGAGCTAAATAAACTTCAGTGCAGCTCTTCTCAGAAATCCTATGAGCAGAGGAAGAGAACTGACTGCAATATACGCTCTAATAAGGAAAAGGAGCCCTCGGAGAACAGTTGAGTGTAAAAGCCCACAAGAGAATCATATACACAGTATGAAACAATTTCTTTTAAAAACAAGAACAGCGACAGTATTTTGAATACTGTTTACCAAACTATTCTCTGAATTTTCTAAAGGAATATATATGCTTCCATTTCCAGTTATTCACTGATTTTTGTAGATTGACTTTGTATCTTGTGACCTTGCTAAAATCACTTAACAGTTCTAGGAGTCTCTTTTGTAGGTTCTTTAAAAGTTCCTATGTAGACAATAATGTCATCTGCTAAGAGAGAGAGTTTTATTTCTTCCTTTCCCATCTGTATGTCCTTTTACTTCTTTTTTCTTGCCATATTGCACTGGCTAAGACCTCCAATGGAGAAGGCAATGGCAACCCACTCCAGTACTCTTGCCTGGGAAATCCCATGGACAGAGGAGCCTGGTAGGCTACAGTCCATGGGGTAGCTAAGAGTCAGACACAACTGAGTGACTTCACTTTCACTTTTCACTTTCATGCCCTGGAAAAGGAAATGGCAACCTACTCCAGTATTCTTGCCTGGAGAATCCCAGGGACCGGAGCCTGGTGGGCTGCCATCTATGGGGTTGCACAGAGTTGAACACAACTGATGTGACTTAGGAGCAGCAGCAGCAAGACCTCCAATGGGAGGTGATAAGAGTGATAAAAGAGGTGATAAGAGTGATTAAAAAAAGGATGTCCTTGCTATGTTCTGATCTTAGGAGGAAAGAAGTCTTTCACCACTGGGTATTATTTTGGCTGCTTTGATACTCTGTGTGTGTGTGTGTGTGTGTATGTGAGAGAGAGAGAGAGAGATTAATTTTTTTTGTACTGGTTTGATAATGTTAGTTTCCTCTTGGAAAGGGAATTGAGAACCAAGATGTACGCTAACGAGAAAGAGGGAAGGGAATTTAGTTTCATGCGTAATGCTTTAATATTTTAAGATAATATATTTGTATATCACAGAAGAGAGCAAAATGTAATTTTTGTTAAAGAATAGAGTGAAGGGTGGCTGAGAGGGGAGAAGGAAACTGATGAAGAACAAGGAGAAAGAGGAAACTCACAGGTACAACTCCTATCTGTCCACCCCTCCTCTTTCCCCAGGCCTAACGTTGCCTAGCCCCACCTCTGTGCTGACATCCAGAGAAGAAATCAGACACAGGCTCAGTCTGGTGGGGAGAAAGGCACCCAAACCAAAGGCATGCCTGAATATTCCTGGGATATGATGGGATATTGGGAGGGAGGCTGTCAGGGTCTTCATCAAAGAGAATATGGTGTCTTATTCTTGAAAGATGGGCTTGAGAGGGGAAAGGAAAGAGGCCATTGCAGCCTTGCTGACAGTGAGGAGGGAACATCCATGGGAGCCTCTCCATTGGGCAGAGGGATTTTCTTTTTGCAGTAGAATAGAGACCGCCGATCTGGTGGACAGGAGGTCAGTAGAGAGATCTGCCAAGCATCATGGCAGACCCAGAGGAACTGGAGGTGGCTATGCTAAAGCCAGGGCTTCCCAGGTGGCACTAGTGGTAAAGTATCCGCCTGCATGAAAATCAAAACCACAATGAGGTACCATTACACACCAGTCAGGATGGCTGCTATCCAAAAGTCTACAAGCAATAAATGCTGGAGAGGGTGTGGAGAAAAGGGAACCCTCTTACACTGTTGGTGGGAATGCAAATTAGTACAGCCACTATGGAAAACAGTGTGGAGATTTCTTAAAAAGTTGGAAATAGAACTGCCATATGACCCAGCAATCCCACTTCTGGGCATACACACCGAGGAAACCAGATCTGAAAGAGACACGTGCACCCCAATGTTCATCGCAGCACTGTTTATGATAGCCAGGACATGGAAGCAACCTAGATGCCCATCAGCAGATCAATGGATGAGGAAGCTGTGGTACATATACACCATGGAATATTACTCAGCCATTAAAAAGAATTCATTTGAATCAGTTCTAATGAGATGGATGAAACTGAAGCCCATTATACAGAGCGAAGTAAGCCAGAAAGATAAAGACCATTACAGTATACTAACACATATATATGGAATTTAGAAAGATGGTAACGATAACCCTATATGCAAAACAGAAAAAGAGACTCAGATGTATAGAACAGACTTGTGGACTCTGGGAGAAGGCGAGGGTGGGATGTTTCAAGAGAAGAGCATCGAAACATGTATATTATCTAGGGTGAAACAGATCACCAGCCCAGGTTGGGTGCATGAGACAAGTGCTCGGGCCTGGTGCACTGGGAAGACCCAGAGGGATCGGGTGGAGAGGGAGGTGGGAGGGGGGACCGGGATGGGGAATACATGTAAATCCATGGCTAATTCATTTCAATGTATGACAAAAACCACTGCAATGATGTAAAGTAATTAGCCTCCAACTAATAAAAATAAATGAAAAAAAAAAAAAAGAATCCGCCTGCATGAGCAGGAGATGGAAGAAATGCGAGTTTGATCCTGGGGCAGGAAGATTCCCTGGAGAAGGAAATGGCAACCCACTCCAGTATTCTTGCCTGGAGAATCCCGTGGGCAGAGAGTCTGGTGGACTATAGTCCATAGGGTCACAAAGAGTCAAACACGACTGAAGTGACTTAGCACACAAGCACACATGCTAAAGCCAAGGCTTCTGAAGATGGAAGGAGAGAGCAGCCAGGAGTGAGACAGGACAAAATGGAGTGTTTCTCCACAAGTTAGAGGAAAGTGAGCACGTTCCCCTGCTGAGAGCAGCCTGGAGAGAAAGAGAGCATGGCCGTTGCTAGGGCAACCATACTGGCCATGAGAATGGGCAGGAACAAGGGGAAAGGCTGGAGGGAGATGTTGGAGGAAGAGTTGACATTTCGGCAGGAAATGGGAACTAAATTGGAAATGGAGGGCAAAGGAAAAGAGAAGGTGACGTTTGGATTTCTGATCTTGAACAAGGGAGAGGGTGGGGATACTGAGGAGCTTGATCTTGTCTTGGTAAGTCTGTGATGTTGCCGGGGCATCCAAGTGGGACTGAGGAAGGAACAGCCAGTATGCACAAAGGCAGTTTCTGCACGGAGGAGGGTCTCAGAAGCCCTGGGCATGGAGAGCTCTTGGAAGGAGAGGAGCAGGAGGACACAGCCCTATGGAGCACCTAGAGCCTAGTCTGGAGGGCTGGGAGGAAGAAGTTCTGAAAAAGTGGCCAAGGCAAAAAAGACAGATGTCACCCCCAAAACACAGACTGTAGTGACTAAAGTGACAGAAACTCTTGGGATGCTCCATCACACGTCTCATAGAGCAATGATGAATGGTCTGTTTTTTCCCTGGACTCTGATGAGCTCCTGCAGGACTTGGGCTGGGGCTTTGGGGTCTGTGTCCTCATCAGAGACCCAGAGGTGCTTGGGGTTAGTTTGTTGGTTGCATGTATGAAGGCAGTGGTCCAGGCTTCAGTTTTCTGGGCCCGGCTGAGTGAGGGGCTGATCAGACATTGGAGGGTGGGTGCTGAGCAGTTTTTGGAGTAAGTTGCTACAGGAACGAGAACAGATGGGCTGTGGGTGGCGGGAGAGTGAGGACTCGGAGATGACTCGGGGCTCCTGGCTGCGGACCCAGGCAGGCAGTGACACTCAGCGCTAATGAGAACAGGGAGAGAAACCCATTAGAGGTGCGGAAATGATGCGGTGAGCTTGTCATATTCTAGGTTTGAGGTACCAAAGCCAGCTGGGAGTTGGTTTTGAGTTTTCAACGTGTGAGCAAAATTGGAGTCTGGCCTGCAGGGCTGTCGTCCCAAGGGCAGGAGCCCATGAGGAGGAGTGGGTGGGGCCCAGTACACACACCTGGGGGCCCTGATTGTAAAGGCAGGTGGAGGGACAGGAGCGGGGGAGGTGGGGCAGTGGACAGCAGCCAGCCATGAGTGTACACCACACACACACACACACACACACACACACATACACACCCCTGGCATGAAGCAGGTGTTTAATAAACCTCTTGTGGATGAATCAATAAATAGTTGGACAAACTGTGAATGACAGTGACCTAAAGACTGGGAACCACCTAAGCCCAAGCCCCAAGGGAAAAGATGTGAGAGACCAACAGATGTTCACACACACACACACATACACACAGAGTGAGAGTGTCACAAAGAAGTGGCAAAACTACACAAGCTACAGAGAGAGAGGGAGCAGAGAGGGAAGGTCAGCAGGTGCTTGCACACACACACACACACACACACACAGAACTGCTCACAGACTCAGAGCAAAAATTCAACAAAGCTCCTCTGTAGAGAGAAAGGAAATGTGTCTTTGGAGTGAGATAAAAACAGAGGCCATGAAGGAGGGGAAAGAGACCCTCAGACAGCAGGGACACAGTTATAGGCGCACGCACACACACTCACATTCTCACTGATTGGCACAGAATCCAGCACTTGTTAGATGATGGATGGCTGGATGGACGGATGGATGGATGAATAGATGGATGGATGGATGGATGGATGGGATCAATAAGTGGATGGATAGGTAAGTGGATAGATGAATGGATGGGTAATGCAGAGATGAGAACAAAATTTAATAAAGGACCCTGAATAGGAGTGATTCATATATGTCCACACACCCATATCACACAAATACATTGCCTAACATAGCATCCACCACAAGGTATTTAAAGATGGAATAACTAAATAAAGTAGTAAACTAACAAAGGAATGAATGAATGAATGAAGCAAACCAGAAATCAGATTAAAACTCAGTAAGTAAGACTCAAGAATAAACCATGATGAGACAGGCATACCCAGACATGGGTGTGAGTTCACACACACACACACACACACACACAGAGGATGATCCACTCACAGTGGAGGGCCAAACCTGTGGGGGCCTGGAGAGAGAACTCAGAATCTAGGAGAGCATGACAAACACAGCAGAGCCAAGCAGGGACACCTAGAGGTAAGCTGGAGTGGAGGGTACAGGAGGAGAACTGAGAATCAGCAGACTTGACAGGGATGTGGTCACCAATCGGGTTCATGCACATGATCCATGAACATTTATAGAGCACCTACTATGTGCCAGACACTGTTGAATGAATAGATTAAAACAGGGAATTTCTACTGTAGGAGTTATAGCTCCTTTTCTCCCAGAACTGATCTTCTAGTACAGAAGACAGAAAAAAGCCAAGTAAGTCAGTGAAATGTGAAAGTGTTAGTTGCTCAGTTGTGTCTGGCTCTTTGCGACCCCATGGCCTGTAGCCTGCCAGGCTCCTCTGTCCATGGAATTCTCCAGGCAAGAACACTGGAATGGGTGGCTATTCCCTTCTCCATAGGGTCTTCCTGACCCAGGGGTTGAACCTGGGTCTCCCACATGGCAAGCAAATCCTTTACCACCTGAGTCATCAGGGAAGCCCCAGTAACTAACTACTAAGTCTAACATGATCAGGGCCAGATCGTGTTAGACTTCAGCTCAAAGCTTGAGTTTTACAGTCAATGCAATGGGAGGCCGTTGGAGGGGTCTAATCAAGCTGTGGCCCCATCTGACTTATAAGATTCCTCAAGTTCTGGACTCAGGAGTAGAAGCAGCGAGCCCAGGAAGGAGGCAGGGCTATTATTGTCTCAGAGAAATGGTGGGTGCTTGAGTTAGGTTGGAACAGATGGGGTGAAGAAAGCAGAATGATTGTGGGTCCTCTAGAAGTTCAGTCTGTGAGACTTAAACCAGTGAACGGACCATGAGTATGTATGAATGATGAGGGTAACAAGGGACTCCCGGAGAACTTCTAGGGTTTCAGGGTGCTGTTGTCTATTGATCTAGGGGAGAAACTGAGTCAGGAACAGATTTTTCGGGGGAGATGGGGTGGTTTCAGCTTTGGGGACAGTGAGTTTGAAATGTATGTTGGCCATCCTTGCACAGGTGCTGAATGGGCAGTAGGGTCTGAAGTTAAGGGAAAGGTAGAGTTTGGGAGTCATCAGAGAATAGAGAGTATGTGAAACTGTTGAACTGGAGAGACTGTGTAAATGAAGATGAGAAGTGGGCCATTTAGAGGTTGGGGGAAGTGGGAGAACCCAGCAAAAGAGACCAAGAAACCAAGAAATCAAAAGGATGTCATATCATGAGAGCCAAGGAAAGTGAGTGTTTCAAGACTGAGGAAGTGTTCAACCATATCCAATACCGCTGATGGGACAGGAAAATGAGGACTGAGAACTGACCACTGGATCTGAAGATGGAGGTCACTGTGGACACTGTCAAGAGTAATGTCAAGAGCAAGGTGGGAGTGAAAAGCTAACTAGAGAGGTCAGAGAAAGAATGGTGGGGGCTGACTTCCAAAGTCTCGTTGAGATCCAAGACATGCTCGAGTAAGTGAGATGGAATGACAACAGGTGATGAAAGCTTGGGAATAGGATGGCTTGAAGTTGGGATTTTGGGACTGGAGCTATTGTTGCAAGGTCAAAGAGAGACCATGGTTAAGGTCGAGTGGAGGACAAGATTGTTGGCACTTGGGAGACCCTGGTAATGGCTGCACCAACCATGGGCTTCCTTAATGATTCAGTGGTAAAGAATCCACCTGCAATGCAGGAGAACTGGATTCAATTCCAGGGTCAGGAAGATCCTCTGGAGAAGGGAATGGCTACCCACTCCAGTATTCTTGCCTAGAGAATTCCATGGACAGAGGAGCCTGGTGAGCTACAGTATATGGGGTCTCAAAGAGTTGGACATGATTTGAGCAACTAATACACACACCATCCATGTGGGTGGTGAAGTCATCAAGGATGACCACAGGACTGGGAACAGAGAGAAGAACCAGGAAATAGAATTTTCAGTGATTGAGTGGGTACAATGAGACACTGGAAAATGACCACCCCAATGAGAAATGCTGGTGGAGTGAGCAAAGCAGGATTGAGAGTGATGTGGAGGTACCACCCTCCATGATAGGACACATCCCGTTTGCAGACCCAGGGACCTCGGCCAGAGAAGTACGTGTGGGGAAGATGCTGAGTCCACTTTGGGACATATGGAATGGCATGTGCCTGGAAGAACATCCAGGTGGAAGCATCTAGAAATTGGCTAATCACACTGATCTGAGGCTCAAGATAATGATGAGGCAGAAAATTAAAACTTGAGAGTCATAGCGTTTGGGTGGTTACTGAGATAAGGGGCAGAGAAACAGGTAAGAGGAGAAATGAGAAGAGACAGGGACACAGTCTTGGCAATGAGGGAGAGCAATGAGGGAGGGCAACATGTCGTTGTTTTTGGCTCAGGTGGTGGGTGCATCAGTTACTGAAATGAGGGAGGCAAGGTGGGGAGGGGGGTCAGGCTTGAGGAATGGATGTCAAGGTGTCATTTGGAGCGTGTTAGAGTTGAGTTGCCAGTAGACTCCCACATGGAGATGTGGGTTTGGTGGTCTGGGATTTGGGCTCTGGCTGGAAGTCATGAGCATAAGGCTTGCTGGGACTGGATAGGATAGGACTGGATGAATTAAGATTCCTAAGGAAGCAGGGAGAGAGAGACAGAAAGAGAAAACCTCCAAAGACTGAGCCATGGGCTCGCCAATATTTCACTTACAAGGGGTTCTCCAGCTTTCTCCAGCGACTAGTCAAGAAGGACAGGAGAGGACGGGAGGCAGTTGGTGTTGAATGTCCTGCGAACTGAGAACAGTGAAGAGATGTGGCAAAGACTAAAATTAAAATGTCCATTAAATCTGGCAACAAGGAGGTCACACTAGTGACTGTACTGGGTGGGGGGACTGCTGATTCCAGTGGGGGTGGAGGCAAGGGCTGGGGTGGGGTCAACACTTTCCCCCAAGCTTTGCTGAGAAGAGAGGAGAGAGATATAGCTGTAACTGGGGGAGAGATGTGTTGTCAAGAGAAGGCTCTTTTCTAGGATGGGAGAGAGGTGCATGCTGGCTGGAGGGATCCAAAATTGAAAGAGTATTCATCCTTCCAAAAGTACAGCCTGTGAGACAAGGAGGTGGAAGATGTTACTGAGAGCAGGACAAGAGAAGGAAGGCGCAGCCACTGGGTCATTCATTCATTCATTCAGAAAATCTCTAATAACAACTATCCGTTTAATCCTTAATAACAGCTGCGGATGGTGAGCCTGGCCCTGCCGTAACAGCTTTTCAAAATTCATCTAATCCTCGTGACACCCCACGAGGAACGTGCTGTCAGCGGCTTCACTGGCAGAAGAAGGGACTTGGAAAGGTGACAGTTGTTGGAGCAAGAAGTGGAGGGATGAGCGCAGAGGTAGGGGGCTGGGGAGGGGGCTGCGCTGCAGGAGGGCTACACGGGGGCTGCTGAGGGGTTCCCGGAGGGAGAGGCAGCAGGAAGTCGGCAGATGGCTGTAGGCGGAGGGAGTTGAGGAATCAGAGATGACTCTGGACTCTTGGCTGCAGCCCCCGGTGGGCACTAATGAGAACAGGAGAAAAACATGTTTGGGGGCTGCAGAGACAAGGTGGTGAGTTTCAGGCATCCATGGAGAGGCCTGGCTGGCCCTGGCATCGTTTCTTTACCCTTGTGGACTATAGAAGCAGGGGACGTACTGCCCAGCCACAGGGGGCAGAGCAAAGAGTCAGCAGGCCCTGGGTAAGACAGGAGAAGCTGAAAAGAGAGGGATTTCAGGGCCCTGGAGAAAATTGCTGAGAGAAAAAGTGCTGAACACGTACCACCTTGTATCACTTAGAGGATGACTCTGGACCCAGGTAGCCTGGTTCAAATCCCACCTCCACTACTTACTTGCTGCATGAGCTGGGACAAGTCACTTAACCTCACTGAGTCTTGGTTTCCCCATCTGTAAAATGGGGATAAGAATAGTATCAAGAATCATATTGTAAGGATTAAATGCAAAACACATGTGAGGCATTTAGGACAGTTTTAAGCATGTAGTAACTGTACAAGATGAGCTGTTATTC